AAATTGATCAGAAGTAACAGTAAAGACATTCATTATGATAAAAAAACAAATACATTTTGTTCTTTTGAACTACAAGAATCTTGAAATAATGTTCATGTGAAATTCAAGACTTCACGAGTAATGGCTACTGAAAACTCAGCTTTGCCATTGCAGGAATGAATTACATTTTAAAATATATTACAATAGAAAACAGTTATATTAAATTGTAATAATACTTCACATTACTGTATTTTTGATCAAATGAATCCTTTGTGAACATAAGACACTTCTTTCGAAGACGTTAAAAAAGTATTACCAACCCCAAACTTCTAAATGCTAGTGTTGGTGTACATCCAGTATCACTACCAAAAAGGTATGCTTGAGCATCCAATGAAATAACAATTTGATATTGGAAATGAATTTGAATTTGATTATAGTACTAAGACACGATAGATATCCATTTGCTGCATGATGAAATTCCACAAAAGTGCAATCACAGACGCTTCATTGTCTGGATCACGAGATTCAAACAGTGGTACTTTTCAGAGTTGCTGGAATTTAATTTTATATCCATTTACAGTATATGGGTAATTGTTCAACAGGAATCTTGACAGTGTTTTTTTTTTTTTTTGTTTAGAAGGGATACGTTGCAATCTTTTGATTTCTATGCCACACACATTTTTCAGTGACACAGTATAAGCTAATACAGCTCCCATGGTTCTGTGAGAACAACATATCCAGTTTTTAACACTGTGAAATAATTTGACCATTCATAAAGGGCAAAATGGGCTGTAGATTTGTATTAAACAACCTCAAGAGATTGGCCATTGCGCTTCCTGTAACAGTTTGTTTACCTATTGATATTTGCTAGAGGTTGATATTTTAGCTTGTTATTTTGATGTTTTGAATAAACATCAAATCTAAAAAAATCCATAGATGGTGAATGTTCATTGGCATGGTAAATGCTGTAATTTCTGAGGCCTGTCATAGACATTTGAAAGATCAGGGGCTGGATTCATGAAACATTCTTAAGAAGAAATTTCAGTAACACTTTACTTGAAGGGGTGTGCATAACACTGACATGACACCTTCATAATCATGACATGACACATGTCATGAATATGAAGGTTTTAAGCATGTTTATGACATTTGTCATTAAGTGTCATTTGCTCAGGACACACATACCGGAAGCGTTCACTCAGATGAGAGCGCAAAAACAACACAAAAATGAATGAAACATATCGCTGCAGCCTGAGACAGGCTATTTTAAAAGTAACTGTTCAAAAACACGCCGCATTAAAAACGTGAAACTGAGTGCCAGTCAAACTCGCAACGAAAATAATGTGCGTGCTTATTACGATTATTAGGGTAATCTGCAGGCAGCGCAAAAAGACAATAAAGCGTGAGTTTATCGGTGCGTCATGTATTCACTCCGATAACGACTGTTATTCTTAAGAAAAAAATTAAGATGTTCTTAAGAATATATTTGAGAATTTTTCAAGAATTGCACTTAAGAACGTTCTTACGAACTTCGTGGAATTTATCTTAGCCTAAGAAAATTTCTTAACTTATTTCTTAAGAAGATTTTTGTGAATCCGGCCCCAGAACTCCACCTGAAATTCCAAAACTCGATGGTTATTTTGCCTTACAATTCGTACCTTTGTGAAGCAGTGCTTTAATATCAAAGTTTGCTGTATTTATTATGCTTTTGTATACATTTCTCTGTGTATTTACTGCATTTATACTCTCAAACTACTACAAACTGTTTTTTCTCCTATTGCGAGTGCTGAGAAAATGTAGTGTAGAAATTTGACTGGAATGCACTGTGCAAATTGCCCCATGTATGAACAGCCAGCTTTTGTATGCAGATTTCAATGCACAGAGTAAGACCACATCTAACATTACCAATGATTTTATTTCCTCTGTTCTAAGGCAGACGATATTGAAATGAAGAAAACACTAGTATGGTCACTGTTGTGTGCCTATTCATGTGCATCATTTATTGTATAGTTAGGATTTATATGCATGGCTATAGTTAGCAATAATTTCCTTGTATAATTGATTAACAACTGCATAACTTGCATTTTAATACCCCATTCCATCCTAGTTTGGACTGTACTATTGCCAGTTAATTAGCAGTCTTTATCTTTGACTTTCCATTCACAGTAGCTTCCGTGATTGCAGCTCACATTAGGTAGTTATTTATGCTACATTCAAAAGACAATTAAATGATTTAAACTCAGATTAAAAAAAAACAACTATGATTTTTTTTTCAGTGAATAATAGAACATGCATTTAACTGATTATATTTCACAAAAAAGACTCGATTTGAAAGACGGTGATACATTTTGATCATACCTATTTCTCTTTAGAAACGTTGTTGTTGGCTAATTTAATGTTTCTTCCATTAAAAAGAAAATAATAATGCTATTACTGTGAATCATGTTTGCAGAAATTCACACTACATTAAGTGTGACTAATTTAAGCATTGATTTCCTGTTAAGCCTGAGATGTATAACTTTTACATTCGCTCGCCTCGTTTTAGAGAAAACTGTAATGAGTCTGGTAATATTGTGCTGTAATACCTGCGTGTCATACAAATCAGTGGGTTCAGTGTCTCCATGACTCTTTAGGTAGATTAACTGTGGTACTGCAATTTAAAAATAAACCAAAGAGGTACTGATGTTTCTGTGCTTGGAAACTTGATATATCAAATATTGGCACAGTTTTTCATTACATTCATTCACCAGAAAATTTATTCAGAAGGAGTGCAAAGGGGCAAATTCAGCCTATGGTCTGTCAACTATCATCTCATAAGGGAAGAAAAAGAAATGGGCTGGAGTTTAATTGAAAATGTGCTCTCCAAATGAGAAAAATGCAACACTTCTCTTACAACACAATCTATAAGTTATTATCAGTCCGTTTTAATTCAGCAGGATAAGTAAACTCATTCACGTTTACTCTCTTCTGTACTTTTAAGACTGTAATGTGATTCAAATTATATTTCTGTTCAGTCTTCTCTTTGACTGAGATTTTTCAAACCTGTTTACCATATTTATTATTTTTCTTTGTTACTTGAATATATGGGGAAACCTCTGTAGATATTTGCGTGTGATGAACTTGATTTGGTTTACTTGTATGTAGTAAAATAAAACAAAAATTGACACGTGACGAATGTGTTTCTGATGTTTTCTAATAGCTAGCATTGGTGTCCTTATCATGCACCACAGGGTCTCTGCACTGAATGAGATAAGATCATTGCTACAGGATGCTTATTTGATATACAAAGTTAAACACAATGGAAATAGGAGCTGGAACTGTAGGTTTGCATGTCTTTTAATGGGCTCTTCTCAAAATACACCTGTGACCTTTATGTATAGCCTGCAAATAGGAACACAGTTAGCACATGTGGCCACATGTAATACTCTCAGATGGGTCATTCCGTGTCAACTCAACCAGAGGTCCCCGGCTCAAATTTTAGATTTTGTTAATATTTTTTTCTGTAGAAAGACAAACATATATAGTGATGAAAGCCAAAATATTAAATGTCACAGATGTATATTTACTTAGTAATCCACTATTTTGTAGCGGGGGGTCAAAATGACAAGTTTCTTTTTACACAGAGATTGGTAGTGGTATTAGTAAAATCTGTTGACTTTAGCAATCTTTGTTTCATTATAAGACAACGGTGACCGTTAAAAAAATGGCAACAAGCACTTCTTGTGTTTGCATGCCTGTAACTCAAGAAGATATCTGAATATCTTAATATATCGGTATTAGATATTTCTCTTTAAAAGAAAAAAAGTATCAGCTGTATGCAAAATGACCCACATTTGGTTTTTGACCAATGAAAATGTGTACAATTTACCAATTTGCTCATGGAGCTGCATTAATATCTCCATATCTCTGGGAATGAACCATCGAGGGCCTTTAAAATGAAGATACCAAAAGGAAAGTTTGTTAAGAACCAGAATCTAAAAGGATATTAAGATATTTTTTAATACTTCTTGAGTAACAGACATACAAACTTGAGGCAAAAAACACAAGAAGTGCTTTTTTGCCATTTTTGAACTGTCGCCATTAGAATATAATGAAACAAAGCTTGCTAAAGTCAACATATTCTACTAATAGACCTGCCAATCTCTGTGTAAAGATAAAATAATGATGCTGCCTGTTTTCTAAAGTCATTTTTACACCCCTCTAATTTGGCTCCAAATCTCAGGTGAAAGTTGTCATTTTGACCCCCCTCTTCAAAATAGTGGATTACTCAGTAAATCTACATCTGTGACATTTAATATTTTGGCTTTCATCACTATTTATGTTTGTCTTTCTACAGAAAAAATATTAACAAAATCCAAAATTTGAGGCATAGAAATTCACGAAATTTGTTTGATTTGACACGGAATGACCCAGATACAACTTAATTCAGTTTTGAATGACACGATTCAAAGTTCAGTATGCAAACATTAAAGTCAGTAAATTTAATATGAGTTGCCTTTAATGAAATAAGCTAAAATACATTTATGTTGAAGCATTTACTGACTTGTAAAGGAACAAAGGAAGGGGCAACACGCATAACAATAAAGAGTGAATTTTGTGAAGTCTCCAAATCTAAAGCTTAATTTTCTCAACAAGAACACAGGTTTAACCATATTTACCATGTTACTATCGTCATTAGCTCAAACAGTATCTAATGGGAGTTGATTCGCTAGGTGTTTTTACATTTAAATGCAGACATTAGACACAGAGCAGCTCCAAAACACTGAACTTTTCCCCATGCATAAATGGCAAAATATAATTACGTTATTTTGTTGGAAATAATAATATAATACATTTCAGATGAACATCATTACAAACAAAGTAGTGAAATATATCAGTTATAATAATTAATCGCAGAATTAAACAAAACTGTAGCAGCTTTCACAGCTAGACCATTGTTTACCTTTATCGACAAGCGACTATTCATGCCTAGCTATAATGCCGCTCTAACGTTACTCCGTCTTAACTCGATAAGCGTGCCTGTCATACAGCGCACTTGAATGTATTGTATACGTCAACTGGCATCCAACCGAAATGGGACAAAATAGGATGAATGTAATTTTTGTTAAATCTGGGAAACCGTGATATTAAGCGAGGTGAAAGGTAAAACGGGCTTGTTTAATTTAGATATTCTTTTTTGAATGGGAGTGTTATTTGCAGGCTGCTCAGTCTAACCGGATACCTTCGCTGTCTGCTTGCAGTGCGCTGTGATGGTCATGGTGTTAATGATGGAATCGCAATGCGAGTACTTTATGTATTTTCCGTCCGTCCCCATCTCAGACCTGTCGGACCCGGCCAAATACCGCACGCTTCCGCGTCGCAGTCACCTTTATCTCGGGGAAACAGTGCGCTTTCTCCTGGTTTTGCGCTCTCAGAACGTCGCGTCGGTGTCCGGGTCGGCCGGCACTGCGGCAGCTGATGGCAGCGTCTCGGAGCATCACAGCAGTCGCTCTTGGAGGGAGCTGGCCGGCTCTCTCTGCGCCGTGGCCAGCGTTAGCCCTGGTGACAACCGGCAGCGGACACAGCCTCTGTATCACGACTACCACAGCAGCGGGGACGAGTGTGTGGAGGATACGGACGATGATGATGCTGCGGAGGTGGGCTGCGCAGGTAGAGGGGGCCCGAGGTACCGGGGCTTCAGGGAATGCAAGCCGCTCCTCATTCACAACAGCCCCGGCAACGGCGTGAGGGAATTCCGTAAGGCTCCTGTACAGGTGCTTAAACAAACACTTCAGTCTATTGGAGAATAGCTGTTTATTGTACAGTTAAAGTTCACTGTTATGCATACAAATATATTTGATTATCTATAACAACACGGAAGTGTTGATATTTCCTGTTGTACTGTTTGAGAGATGTGTTTGCCTTTTCTTATGGCTGGCAACTATACAGAACACAGTCCTTTACAATTTATAATTGAGGATAGTCATAGTACTGCAAAGGGCTTCCTCTCTTTAGTATTCTGGCCAGAATGCTACCATGTGTCTTTCAAGCAGTATATTTCTATAACAGTCCTGACTTGAACCCCTGCAGGTGCACTCAGTAATGTTTTGCTAACTAAAAAAAGATTTTATACCAAAAGAAACGAACAGCACTTTTGAGAAATATCATTCAATAATAGGATATAAAGTCACACAAGATGAAGACTCCAAACATCTTCTAGGAAAAAAGCTATTTTATTTCACAAGAGGCGTTCTATGATGTGATGCCATGTGGACATCAAATGACATATATATTGATATATGTAGTATTAGATGGAGAAAAACACACAAAAAAGAACAAGACAGAAGATAAGCAATCAGCTTCAGTGTGAAGCAATCCAATGTTAGTCAACAAGCTTCAAGAATTCGCACAGATAAGCTAAAGTAAAGACCCAAAACCACTTCTGAAACAAATAAGAGCTGAGTAAATGTAAAACTTTAAACTTTTCATGAAGATTAAATTCATACAATTCCTATATAATTTCAGACTTTAGAAGAAAAGTGCAACACTCATTCCACAAATATAGGCTTGACTTTATTTATTTTTAAAACAGTGACATTTTGGACAACAGCATGCGATTGTTGCTCTTTTCTTCTGAAGTTTAAAATTTGGATTTTTGATTTTGTAATTTTATAATTTTATAATTTATCTCGACCATGAAAGTTACATTTAAAAAAAATAGAAACATTTACCTTGAGGTCTTCTCATAGCATTCTGTCATTTTTAGTTTAAAACGATTTTGATACCAAGAGAGGTTTTATCCTAAGTCATTTGACCTGAGTATTTTCAGGGACTCCTTTTCAGTGTTTTTCTCAGAAGTTGGACCTGTTTGCTCCCCCTAGCCTCTCAAATGTCTGTATACCCCAGCCCAGCATACAGAAGCTATTTAAAATATAAATAACACCTGCAGATTGTAAATGACATCTGGAGAATGAAATATGATAATTGTAATTGTAAGTTAAGTCATTTTAAATCAAGAATTTAGGACAAATTTTTCACATCTAACAAACGTTTGACAGTCCGCCAAGGTGCAGTGCTTCTGTGTTTTTTTCCTATTGAAAATTCTCATAAGAAGCAAAGCAAGGCAATTCATTTTTCAAACAGAGGTACAACCCACCTTGTGAAATGAGAGCTTAGTCTGCTATTTGCACTGCTTTCTTGCTAGTCACACACCCAGTAGTGCAAATGTTTTTAAATGCACCAATCCAGTTTCAGAAGTCAGACATTACAGAGCTATGATACTCAAACTGTATGACTTTGATATTGTCTCTGAGGTACAAGAACAAGCAGATACTCTACACCAGGCATTCTTAAACCTTTTTGTCAGCTGGACTCCTTAGACGTAATATATTTGCTTGAAGTACCCCCTGTGATTTTAATTTAATTTTTCAATAATATAATGGCACATCACATATTCTCTGATGTCGGTTAACGGTCATATGACATGCAACTAAACAGCAAATAACAGAATCAATGATGCAAACTACTTCAAATGAGACCAATTCAAATTCTGCTGTAAAGCAACAGAAAATCTTTTTTTAGTAAGTGTTTTGTTTTTGTATCTGAACTTTAAAATCTTTTTAGTTGTGATAGTGATAGATTATTATTATTAATATGTATTAACTCTAATTACGAAACTGAAGGCAGAAAAATATTACAAATTACAATTGCGCTGTAAAATAAAAATGAATATTTAATTATAATTTTATTTTTAAACTAAAAGGTAGAGTGCTAATATTTATGCCTTAAATTCTTCAATTTCAAATGTTGAAACCCTTGAACTTTAAACATTTCAAATCCCAAGTTTTTATTTTGGAGAAATAAATGCTGTAAACTTTTGCCCACAAAAATATTGGTAATTATGCGAATGTGTAAATAAAGTGAACCTAGCATATATTGTTTTCCTAAATGCACATTACAGTTTTTCTCAATCGCATTGGCTCAATTCTCAAAGCAATAAATTCAGATGTCTGAATAGTTAGTTTCTTATTCATATCAGATTTGAATTTCTTATTGATTTAAGCAAACTGCATGTGTTTTGGTGGCATTGGCCAAGTCACTGACACAATAACTAGGTTTTGAAGCATGAATTAAATGTTTGCATGCAATAAAGTTCTGATGTTCCAGCACACAGTTGTGATAATTGCACTTACAGTGCTGAGAAAAACATAACTTGTCCCATGTCTCACCTCCAAGTATTTTACTTTGTTGTTTTTTTCAGTCTCCTGTGGATGAGCCAGTTGTTTTAAGCGATGAGGTCATCTTCCCCCTGACTGTGTCCCTGGATAAGCTCCCTGTCACCACTCTCAAAGTGAAGGTATGACTGATGTGTATGTGTTTTTGTGTTCTGTGTTTTGTGTATTCAAGCATATGGTTGTATATTTTCAGTTGATATTGGTGTGGTGGCATTGTGTGTGTGTGTGTTCTTGCATTCATGCATATGGTTGTGTATTCTCTGTTGATATTGGTTTTGCGGTATTGGTATAAATAGAACAGGAAGTTCTTATCAGCAGTATTGCTGATTAGTTGTGGATGCTTGTGCAAGATTCTAATGTAAAGTGTGAGTGTGTGTGCAAGAAATGTCGATTTAATCAAACACCAGTGCTCATGGTATGTCATGTTGCATGTGTTTCTGATTGCACCTCTGATATATGTGGATGTATGTGTGTTACCTCAATACAGATAATTGTAACTGTGTGGAAGCAAGAAGAGGAGAAAGCTGAGATCCAAGAGCATGGCTACCTCAGCATCCTCCAACAAAAGAGCCCCTGCCAAACATTCCGCCAGGATCTAAACACCTTCAAAGCGCAGGGTGAGCTCTTGCATCCTTCATCACAATACTGCATGATGACATTATTGATTTAGGACCTCAGGAATCTGGCTTTTTTCGCTCGTCACTTCATCGCCATTGCTTTCCTTTTATTATTTCTCCTCTCTTTGTTTCTTTATCTGCTTTTCTTGTAAGTGTCAGTGTCATGTTTTTAGATTTTAGTTTTTCCTGCTGTGTCACATACATTCTTGAAATGTTATGTATTTCAGAAAGCCTTTGTACTGTTAAACATTTTTTTTTTTATACATATGCTGTTTAGGAAATTGTTTTAAATTGGTCTCGTTTTCTCTTGCTTGCTAACAGTCAGCACCACACTTAATGTCCTGCCCCCTCCGACTGTAAAGTGTCAACAAATGACAGTCTCAGGGAGACACTTGACTGTCCTTAAAGGTAATGTCAGCCCTATTTCTAGCTCTTCTTAACATTTTATAAGCACAAATGATATATAGTATATACACTACTGTTGAAAAGGTTGGGGTCATTAAGGTTTTTTGTTTTTAAAGAAATAATACTTTTTTAAGCAAGGATGCATTAAAATGACAGTACAGACATTTATAATGTTACAAATAATTTATCAAATAAATGCTGTTCTTTTGAACTTTCACTTCATCAAAGAATCCTCACTGAAGTTCAGCTGCTGGCTGCTGGAGTCGATGACCTGGAGCTGCTGCTGCAGGAGAGAGAGTGCGCCACGATAGAGCCGCCCGTCCCCCGTCCCGAGTGAGTCGCTCATCGCACACACAAACAAACACACACGCCACACTATAATGAACCTTGCCCTTCCTCACGCCCTCACTGCTAATCAGGTAATCTTATCATCTTGCTTAAGCCATGCTGTGCTGCCTGTAAGTGCACTGAGGGTATCTGGGGGTTTGACGTCATCTCTTTTTGCGCTCCCTGTTGTATGGCTTTATTATGATGTCCTTTCTTTAAATCTGTCAACTATGTTCAAAACATTTTAATGCATTTATGAGAAAACAGAGGACTTGTACATGGTTCAGTTTCATTCAGCTGCTTCATGGCTATCATGGCTAGAAACATAGATTTTTGTCTCCACTGCTATAGTGTAAGCACATCAGTAGTCATAATTTGTGCAATTTGTGCTCAGTAGTTCTGTAGTGCTGTAGTGCATCTCTTTTATTTTTGTGGTTTCCTGTATCTTTGTGTGATAGACGTCCTGTTTATGTATGTTTGAACATCTGACTGTTTCAGTATTAAATGCAAGTTCTCAAGAGGAAGTGTGTGTGCGTGACATCAAGATCCTTCCCAACTTCAATGCTTCATACTTACCAATGATGCCAGATGGCTCGGTGCTGTTGGTGGACAATGTTTGGTAAGAGAAAACATTACGTGTGACCGCGCACACCTGTGAGTGTGATTACAGTATATCCTCAAACGTTCTGATTATGGTTTGATATAAATTCCTGTCTCTGATTAATAAACTTCTGCTATTTATTCAGCCTGAAACACTGCAATGTTTAAACATTGTTTTGTAGATAACACAAGATGGATTGGTTTACTTATTGACAATTTATTAATTTGTAAACATCATAATTTTAGGAAATGTAAAATTTTAATTTGAAAGGTTATAGAATGTTTAACATTTAAAAAGTAACTGATCATGATGATATCAACATAATAATTAAATTCTTTATTTAAATCAATGCATACTGAATTGTGTTTCGTCTTCTTTTCCTGGAATATATATATGTATAATATACACTGAACAAAATTATAAACGCAACACTTTTGTTTTTGCCCCCATTTTTCATGAGCTGAACTCAAAGATCTAAGACTTTTTCTATGTACACAAAAGGCCTATTTCTCTCAAATATTGTTCACAAATCTGTCTAAATCTGTGTTAGTGAGCACTTCTCCTTTGCCAAGATAATCCATCCACCTCACAGGTGTGGCATATCAAGATGCTGATTAGACAGCATGATTATTGCACAGGTGTGCCTTAGGCTGGCCACAATAAAAGGCCACTCTAAAATGTGCAGTTTTATCACACAGCACAATGCCACAGATGTCGCAAGTTTTGACGGAGCATGCAATTGGCATGCTGACTGCAGGAATGTCCACCAGAGCTGTTGCCCGTAAATTGAATGTTCATTTCTCTACCATAA